AGGCAAGGAAGGAGGGGGTGAGAGAGGGAGGTAAGGTGAGGTGAAGTGAGGAGGAATAGATCAGAGACCAGGGAAGAGCAGGACATGTGGGAAAGAAGGGTTAGGAGAAGAGGGGATGAAGAAAGGGAAAGGGATGAAAGGGGGTAAGAGAAAGGACAAGGAGGATGGGTCGGAAGCAAAAGAGGTGAGACATCTGGGAAGGGAACAGAAAGGTGGTGAGGGAAGGAAATCGTCCCTGAGAATCAGGCAAAAGAATTGGAGGAGGAGTGGGAGGGTAGGAAACCTGTGCTGGAGGGGGTGAGTCCCCTCTCCCGCTCAGAGCCTTGAGTTCCCAGATTGTCCCACAGAGAATGGAGTGAGTGAGAAGGGAGCTGAGGCCCCAGGCCCCCTGCCCCGCCCCAGCAGCCCTGGCATAGCTCTGCCCCTGGAAGGGGTAGGGGAGGGAGGGAAGGTAGAGGCGGAGCTTAGGGCAGGACTCCTGTCACTGCCAGGAGCAGGGAGACAGTCACATAGCTGAGGCGAGAAGGGGAGAGAGAAACCCAGACAGCCACAGGAGAGACAGAGAGATAGATGGGGAAGAGAAAGATGAGAGAGGTGAGGGACCAAACAGCCGAGGCTTGGGGATGAGGAAGCCCCTGAGGGTGTCGGGAGACAGTGTGTATGTGAGGCCGGGGTGCTACAGCTGCCGTTTCCCTGCGAGCTTGGGCTGTTACCCCATCAGAGTTCTGCTGAGGTTCAGCCCCTTCATCTTTCTGTCTGATCAGACCTCTGTTTCCCTGGCAACTGGGCAAGGCCCCAGGAATCATGGCTGAGGGTGGGGAATTCTAATGCCATCATTCTATACCTACTCTGCTGACATGAGCACCTGAGATTGATGTATGTTGGGGGGGGAGGGAACCCTCTTCCAACCTCCCAGGCTCTGCTCCCTTCCTCCTCCCACCCCCATGCAGGCCTGGAGGTGCTGGCAATTCAGAGCCCTTACCCCAAGGCTGTATTTGCCCTGTCCTTGGGAAAAGTCCCTAGAAGAGTCCTGGAAGGGGAGCTCCGTTTCCCTAAATGTTTGGTTTCTGGACTTTGGTCGAAGGGCACAGAGACTTTTCACATACCAAGGCCAGGGAGATGGAGAGAAAGGGTGATCTGCACAAGCAGGGATATGAGTATGAATAACCAACAGGTCTGGAAGTAGTTGCCTGTCCAGGCCATGGATCTGGAGGCCTCTTTCTACCTCACCTGCTTAGAGTTCCCACCCCCTGGGGAGTGGAAGTGGGAAGGTTCCCAGAGGTAGTGTAGTAGGAAGGACTAGGATGAAAAAGGGCAAGAATGGAGGTAGGCAGAATGTAAGTGGAATGGGGACTTTGCCCCTTGGGTGCCAGCATGAGACGGTGTAGGGGATGAGGAAAGGGATTTCTTTTCTCTCCACAAAAACCACCACTTATGTTCTGTGGAACTGATGGACCACTATTGATATAACTGCATCCTCACTGGGACTGTCCTCTGTACTTCTTGCTCCAAATGAACTTGGCTTCAGGTAATTACAGCTTTTGGTCCAGAGACAGCTAGAGTAACTGGGACAGTAGATACAGGGACAGAGATGCAGACAAGGGCACATACAGGGGCAGAAAATATACCAGGATAGGAGATACAGGGTCAAGGAAAAGAGGACAGATAGAAGCAGAAGAGGAGTCAGGATCATGGACTCATGAGAACACAGACAGAGAAAGGAAGAGGGCAGAAACAGGGATGAGAACAAATTCAAGGGGAAGGATGGGCACAGGGGAAAAAACCAGAAGGGTGGTCAGGAAGAAAAATAATAGGGATTTACTGAGCTTCTGCAGAGTGGGATCCCAAGTCTGACACTAAGTACTGAATTAGGGAGGAGAGGGACTGGGCTAGAACTGGGGCATGAAAGACAGAGAAGGCAGGTGTCCCAGGAAGGGCTCAGGTCCGTCCCCAAGAGGACACCTTAGGTGTGTTGCTCTCTGGCGATATCCTTAGTTCCCCAATCTTCTAGGCCCTTGATTGGTGGGAGAAGTTGGAAAGGAGCTATTGATAGGCTCTCAGGGCCCCACCTCCTCTCTCTAATCTGCCAGACTGTAACTCCTCCAGGCTTCCTGGCACCAAGGAGTTTGGGGGAGAGAGGAAGAGAACACAGGGTGAAACCACACTTTCTAGAGGGATTAATCTGGGGGAGGGAAGTGGTCTGAAGGACGATGGATGTCAACGTAGCCATCCTCTAGCCCCAGGCCTGGAGGGGGACCCACTCAGAGGTCACTGAACCTGGAGCTACGGATCAGGATGTGTGGGTTCAGTTTGTTCCCAGTCCTGAGCGACTCTTCCAACCCACTGCTAACACACCTGTCTGGGGTGTGATCATAGTCCAGCCCTCTCCCCTTAGCCCACACTCACCTTGTGGGGAATGTCCGGGTTTCTCAGGTCCTCTCTCCGAGTTCCCTACCCCTGGCAGGAAGGGAGACAGTCAGAGGGCCCCACCAGTGGGCAGAAGGAGGAGTTAGGAGTCCCTTATCCTCATCTAGCCCCACCCCTCCCTTTCCCTTCCTTTAGGGGCCACCTGTAAGTGGCCCAGCCTAGCCTCAGGCAGCTCTGACCAAGTTTTGCTCTGCTTCCAGATAACTGCATATAGCTGAGCCCAGCTGTGCTTGGCATGTTCTCAGTCCTAAGGCCGATCACTACTCTGCCTTGTCTAGTTACCTTTGCCCATCCCCCCCAAATCCCACTCTGTGCCAACTAACAGTGATAGCCCAGGGCACCAAAGCTGACTTTGAATCTACCCTTGCTTGAAGGCTGAGTTTAAGTGCATCTTTCCTCCCAGAGGTCTCACCTCTTGGAATGAAGTGGGCAGCAGGTTTCTCTCTACTCAGCCCTTCCCTCTCCCAGTGCACAAGGTTAATATGGGTTTGGACCCCGGGCGGGGCCAGATAGCTCCCCTCCCCCTAATGACCTTTTCAGCAGCAGCTGCACCATCCCACACTAAATTTAACCCCAGCCCGCCCATCTGGCCCTCCCTCCCCACTACCCAAGCCCAGTCATGGGCTCCCTGTGCTATGCCCCTTGTATGTATGTCCCCCTGAAGAAGAGGAAATCAGGAAAAAAAGGAAAGGTAGAAAGGCAGAGGTCACAGGTATATGGAGACAAGGGCATCAGGGAACCTGATCCGGGCCAGGTCCAGTGCAAAATGGGTAAGGAGATTAGACAGCAGGCCAGCTGTGCTCTTTAGAGCCAAGGGATGAATGTGATCTACCTAAAGACTTCCTGGGCCCATAGGGTCTTGGTCTGAAATAGATTAAGAAGGATGAGGAGGAGAGACAGAACTGCTAAAGGCCCTGACACTCAGAGGACTGAGAAGAAGACCAGTCAAGGGTGCTTTCCTAGATGAGGCTGTGGCCCTGCCTTGGTAACGCCAGGTCCTTATCCTGGTCCCCAAGGTGCCTTCATCCTGATATATATTGGGCCCTAGCCAGATTGTTGAGGGGGGAGGAGGGAGAAAAGGGCCTGGGCTATGCCAACCTCTTCTCCAATGACAGCTTAAGAGGAAGCTGGCAGCCTCCTCCTCACTCCCCCCTCTTCCCCCACCATGAGGCCCATGTCCTAGGCAGGAGGCCAGGGTCTAGGTGAGATCCACCCCCTGTGGAAGAAGGCCAGGGCACTGGGTCGTTTCCTTCTCCCCACTGCAGCCCTGGCGAGGCAGCCTTGCTCCTGGTTCATCCTCCAGGCCAAGAAACCCCTTCTCCCCACTTTTCCCTTCAATCTAGCTGGACTTCTCTTGGCTCCAGCTGTGTCTACCATATTCTTAACCAACCCATACTTGCTTCAAAGGGAACAGGGTTTAAAAGGGCCCAGGCTGGGTGCCATAGGAGGGAAGACAAGAAAGGAACCATAGCAGATATTTAGCCCAGCAGGGCCTTATTCTCAAACAGGGGCTGGGTTGGCACACCCCCTCCCCCTCATATACCTGTGAGAGAAATGATTATTTTCTATTATACTATTTACCAATAATTCAGTTGGGATTAAGGCTTTTTCTCTTTATTTCCTCATTCAAGGACCAGCCCCTTTAGGTCAGTCAGCCAGTCTCTGAAGGATGAGGCTGATAGAGGAGATTGGCCTAATCCTCAGGGTATATACTCTGAGATCTTGGGTGGGACCCCACCCAACTAGGAGATCATATTTCTGCCTAGAATGTAAACAGAATCTAATCCAGGTGAATTCCAGCCCCAAAGCATTTAGCACCCCTCTATTGGAGTTTAGGACAACCCAGCTCATGAAGGAGAAAACCAACCAGAGTGGTCTGGGTAGAGATGGATTACTTTGTCCAGATCGCTGGAGGTGACTGAGTCTCGTGATCAAGCCATGTTTCCAGCAGGAGCTGAAGACTCTTAGCCCACTTCTTCATTAAATATTCACCAGAGTTGCTTTTCACCTGTCAGGGTCGCCTCCTTTTCTAAAAGTATATGGAGGAATTCAGTATCTTCATTAGGGGGCTTTGGCTACTGAGAGAAACCACTGACCATCAATTTATTATCAGCCAGCCTAATTAATGAATTGATCATTAATTATCCAGAAACTCTGTCTCTTGAGTTTTTCATTTGTCTCACCTGTACACACACAGAGACACGTACCAAACACTTGCACAGACAAAGAATCACAGGTTAGAGATACAAGGTCTCTTAGAGACAATCTATTTCAACACTCATTTTGCAGAAGAGAAAACTACTTGCTCAAAGTCACATAGCTTGGATAAGTGGTAGGAGTTGAACCAAGTGTCCTGTATGACAGTCTAGTGTTCTTTCCACCACACTGTGCTAATATTGCCCCCTTCAGAGATGTGATCTGTGGTGGTGGTGGGGGGGAGGAGCAAGTAAGCCCTCCACTAGTACAGCCCACTGGGCCCATGAAACCTTCTGGAGACCTACAGAGAATAGATAGGGATGTGACAAGCAGACACCATTATCTGTCATGGACATACAAAAAGACAGCAACACCAATGGCAGAAAATTCCTTTATCAAGTTTCACAGAATAAAAATATGGACTCCCCCACTCCCTTGCCCCAAACCCAGGGCATCTGTCCCCAAAGGGGTCTGAACCTGAGACAGGAGCCTCGGTGAGGGCTTCTCCTACCAAGGCCTCAATGCCACTCCCCCCCGACTCTGGATGCTCTGTTCTGAAGCTGCCAGGAGGGGGGTTGGCAAGGATAAGGCAAGGGTGAACCTGAGGGGAGAGGATTCCCCTGGCTCCCCCAGGACAGAAATGAGGAGATGAGCTGGGCTTCAGCCCACCCCTACTCTAGGACCCAAAGCTAGGGAGGTGAAGTGGCCTAAATATAGAACCTTCAGGCCCAAGAGATATAAGGCCAACTGCAGGTTGGGGCCCCAAGCCTCACTCCTTGGCCAGTCATTGCCATTAGCCCAACCACTGCCAAGTGGGAGGAAAGAATGAACTGGGCTGAAGTGAGCCAGGCCACTGCCCAACAATGCCCCTGTGCCTAAGACGATGCCTCAGATCTTCACTGGAGACGTGTCGGGGGAGTAACTCCATTCCCTTTCCCTGGGAAATAGAGGAGGGAGAGAGGGGAAACAGGCCAGCTGGCCTCTAAGACCTGATGACTCCTGTCCACCTCACATGATCCCACAGCAGGGCCTCTTCTCAGCGGGGGCCTCCTCAGCAGGGGCAGTCAGTTTCAACAGGGGAGGGTCCCCACTTGCTGAGGTGTAGTAGACTGGTGTTTGAGGGATTCCAGAGTGCTGGGTTTCAGCACAGGGTGGGCCTTTCCCCCCTGATTCCCCGAGGTCCTCAGCCACAGGACGCTGCAGCTTGGCGGCAGCCCGCTGACGCTTGAGGTCAGCCAGCGTATGATGTGCCTTGTCCCGAGTGAGGGGTCCAGGCACAGGCGGCTCCTGTGTGGCCAGATGGTAGGAGACACTTCGGTCCAGCCTCTTGGAATACAGGTGCCTGCTGGGGGGCCCTGGGGCTGCCCCTGCACTGCCATTTCGATGTCTCAATGCCTCGGGGTCTATCTCCTGCAGTCAAAAAAGGAGTCCAGGTAGGGGTTAGGAGGGTCAAACAGGGAATGAGACCGAGGGCTGGAGATGGGCAAAGGACATGAAAAACAGGCCTGGGTGATGTAACTGAAGGATGGGTGATGGTAAATGGAGATATATGAAGAAGATGGGGCAGGGAGGTCGGAAAATGGGAGTGATACAAAAGATGAGGTAAAGAAAGAGATTGGGCCTTAGGGTCTGGGCCCCTCACCACAGCCTGTGGCTGGAGCTCAGCATCTGTCTGCTTATCCTCATCCTCTTCTGGGGGTTCAGCGGCAGTGGATGGCTGCTGTTGCCACACTATGGCCTCACGGGCATGTTCTTTACGGTATAGGTGGGTGCGCTCTGTCACACTCACTCTTCGTACAACCTTCCTGAAGTGGGGGGACACAAGGACACCCCCTTGAGCTCCCTGCCTGCTCTAGCATCCCTTTGGACCCCAGAAATCAGAATTTGTATACCTAATTCATCTCCCTCCCCTAGTCAACTTTCCCAGCTGAGCCAGGCCAGAGTCAGGCCCGGGGCCCAGGACAGGAGAAACTCCACCCACCCCCCACCCCACCCCACCCCACCCCAAGGAACACCTACCTAGGACCTCCTCCCTCTGGACTCTGCCCTAGAGCCTGCAGCTGAGCTGTGGGAAGTGCCTCCAGGGCAAGAATGGGGGCAAGAGTACATGACCCCTGGAACGCCTCTGACGTCAGCACAGGTCCCTTGTATCAGTACAAGGGGTTCTTGGAAAGGTTGGGAATGGGAAACCATTCTCTGAGGGGCAAAGGCTACGGGCATTAGGGACAGGGTTTCAAACCTAGATGGGAAGGAACATGAGCCTCTTCAGAGCAAAGATTGAAAACTGAAGAGGGGAAAGAAGGGGATGAAAAGGGGGAGAAGCAGGGGCTGGGTGGCTGGTTGGGGAAGGGAGAAAGGGAAGGAAACTGTGCCAGGCACTGTGCTAAATTCTTTACAAATGTCTCTTTTAATTCTCTAAGGAATCCTGGGAGGTAAGTGCAATTATTATACACATTTTACATTTGAGGAAACCGAGGCAGCAGAGGTTAACTGACTGGCCCAGGAACACAAAGCTAGTATCTGAGGCTAGATTTGAACTCAAGTCTTCCTGACTCTAGGCCCAGCACCCTATCCATTGTGCTACCTAGTCACCTCTAGGAGGATAAGGAAGATGGAAAAGAAGGGATAGGGCTGGATGGTAGACCCCTGGAATAGCTCTCATGTCAGTTCAAGAGTCTGGGCCAGTCAACCACTCCAACGAATTCTGGACCACTTAGGTCCTGAAGGCAAGGGGCAGAGTTCTTTATAGAAGGGGGTATGGTGCCTTCCATGAGAATGTGGGAAGAAGGGGGGAAAGGAAATGAATAAACTAAGAGAACTAGTAGGAGACAAAGGAGGCTGGGTGCTGGGAGGCAGAAAATGGGGAGATGAGGGGACCCAACAGGAGGACTAGGCATCAGAGGGGTTGGTAGTGGAAGTTTGGGGGAGAGGAAATGACCAAGTAGCCCCAGGGTGTGGGCTCCCCCCAGTGGCAGGCCCTGGGATAGGCAGACTGGGCTGTGGCTATGGATCCAAGGTGAAGGCCTCACCCTCGGCTGCCTGCACTGGACGTTCGTCTTTGTAGCAGGGAGCCTGAGCCCCTGTGGCGGTCATGGGAGCGCATGATGGCTTCATGCTTGTGCTTAAGCTCCAGCAGCTTGGCCCGCATCTCTTCATCCCCACACACATCTGAGGGAACAGCGAAAGGAAGGGCCCTGACTGATGAGTCTTGCACTCTTCCCTTGACAGTACCCCTGGTGCCCTAATCAACTGCTGGAGGAGCTCACTCACCCAGGGGCGTCTCATCCAGCAGTGACTTCCCATTCAGATCAGCTCCATGGGCCACCAGCAGCTCCACTAGATGAACCTGTGAGGACAAGCCAAGCTGTCCCTGACACTGCCCTGATGCAGCTGGGCTTTGACACTTACACTTGGTAGTGGCAAGAGGCAGGGAGAGTTGGGGGCTTGGGGCAATGGAATATTCTGCAGATATGTATAGGGGTGGGTGAGTGGGAAGTGGGAGGCTGAAACCATGTTGGTGTCCTGCCCTGGAGCCCAGAAGGCCCAGCTCTGCTCTCCCACCTAAAATGAGGGCTCACCAGCCTCCTGCCCTGACCTCCCCTCCCTACTCACCTGGCCCCAGCAGGCTGCTGCATGCAATGGCTCCCAACCATCTTGGTCCTTGGCGTTCAAGTTGGCCTTGTGCTCCAGCAACAGCTCAGCTGCCTCCAGGTAGCCATTGGCTGAGGCAATGTGCAACTAAGGGTGGGAGTCTGGGCTGAGGAAGTCCCATCAGCCCAGGGAAGGACAAACTTCCCCTTTCTAGTGTATCCATTTCTTCCCCTTCCCACCCTGCCCCCCACATCATTGCCTTGAAGAGTAAAGGAAGCCTGGAAGGCATGAAGCTGGGAGACACAGAGGTCTCCTCTTGTCAGAATACTTAGGGGCCCAGACTGTTCAAATACCCTAAGTCCACCTCCAAATGGTCCTCCAATCAGCCAGAGATATATGTAATGTGGCTTCTTCCCTCTTCACCTGCTTGGTCCTTACCAGTGTGGCCCCATGATCCTGGGGAGCATTGATGTCAGCCCCAGCCTGGAGCAGGCTCTGGATATCTTCCACCATGTGCAGCTCTGGCACTCTCCGTGCCTCCTCGATACTCTCCTGAGTGATGCCTAGGGAGTATTGAGCTCGGGGTTGCTTCAGAACCTACCATCCCCACTAGCTCCACCACTCCTAATTATTCCTATGTTCACGCCAGACCATCAGTGATTCCTAAAGTGAGGGGACTTTTGTTTAATGCCAGCCTTGACTACCCTAGATAAGAGTTTCCACCCACCTTGCTCAGCCATAGCTGTCTCAATGGAGTCCAAAGTCAACTCATCCTCACACAGGTCATAAGGCATGTTCCCATCCGTATTGATGGCCAGAAGGTTGGCACCACTGCAAAGGAAGAGGGGAGCTCTATGTGTCCCTCTAATCCAGAGTTCTCTCTCCTAAGGAGCCAGGATGGAAGAGCCCCATAGCCCTTTTACACTAACTGCTCTGCAGATCACTGTACCCAGCTTGTTATCAGGTGTGGGGGATCCTAGCCAACCTCATGGATTCCTAGCCTGACTTTCTCCTGACTATTCCACCATCCAGCTGCTTTTCAACCCACTCCCAATCAAAAGACAGTGAGGCAACACCAATGTTGTAATGCTTACAGGTTGGGGAGGTGGTGAGCAGTCAATTAACCTATTCCTATCACATGGGGGTCTCTCCTAGCCACACTTCCAAGATCCACACTGTAGGGGGTCCCCTCAGAGCTGGCTGTATTTTTCTCCAGAGAAGTACTGATTTGAGAGAACAGCATTCTCTGATTGGTCCTCAGACCCCTCAGTGGATCCCTTGCAAGGGAGCTAGTTGACCTTGCAACAGCTGGAGTGGCAGGAGATCTGGGACCTGGTCTAGCACAAGCTCCACCATTCCATTCTCGTTATGAGTTTCAGGGTGGAGCCGAGGAGGGGCCAGTTCAGGTTGGCTTTCGGTCCCACAGCAAGGTGAGGCTGGGGAAGAGAATACAGCTAGGTGGCAAAGTAGATAGAGTACTGGATTTGGAATCAGGAAGACATGAGTTCAAATCCTGTTTCAAACAATTACCAGCTATGTGATTTTTGGGCGAGTCACTTAACTCCTATTTTCCTTGGTTTCTCCAATGTAAAATGGGGATAATAACAGTATCTATTTCACAGAGCTGTTGTGAGAATCAAATAAGATACTTGCAAAGTGCTTTTCAAACCTTAAAGTGTCATATAAGATGTTATTATTATTATTCCCAGAAGGGAGGATGCTGGTTTTCTCTCATGCTGAAGCAGGACTTGCCAGAAGCAAGGCTGCTGCCTGACAACCATTAGCCATAGCTGTTTTCCAAGGAAGCCCTGTAGGATTCTGCCTGCTGCTGCTCCCACAGGAAGGTGGGCTGCTCCATGGGGAGGGGCTGCAGCTGCTGGGCCAGGGCCTGGCTCAGTTTCTCTGTCTTGTGGGCCAGGTCTTGGCCTGGTAGCATGAGTTTCTATTGAGACCCGCTGGGGAGCCTGTGGCTCCTGAAAGTGGAGCCCACTCAATGGCTGAGATGATAACCAGATGATAACCTCCTTAACTCAGCTCCCTACAACCTTTGGACTGACTCTGCTGGCTGTGTACCCTTCCAGGGGTCTGGTTCCCATTGACCTTAGGTCCAGATGAGTGAATAGCCATCAAAAAGACAGAGGCTTAGCCACAAACATTCCTTAGTCTCATTTGGTTGGCAGATCTGCAAGCCAGAAACCTGGGGCTCAGGTTACCTGTGGACTATCTGCCCATTCAACATTTATAGCAGGCCTGCCTGCCTCCACCTGCCCCAGCAGGAGCAGCTGTTTGTTGATTCCTGAGGGCAGGGCAGGGGTAAGCAGTTCAAGAAACAGACAAGGCCCTCTTGGTGAGACCAAGGGCTGGAGCCAATTCTGAATTTTTTTTTTTTGTAAACATTGGAGACTGATGTCCTAACCCTAAAGGCAACAAATTCCAAAGGAAGGTAGCAGACCAAAGACACTAGTCTCTGGACAATAACCCAATAAGGAAGACAACTATAAAGCAACAAACAGAACCAGACTACTCATCTCTAGGGCAGACTGAAGAGTGACAAGAACCCAGGATAATTACCTACATAAGACATTAGGATAACACTATCATAGAACATAAGGGCTATAGGGGACTTCAGAGGGTAAATAACCACACATTTATTTGAACCACGTATTTTCTCTATAACATCTCCAACTATTGGTCACTGTTAACTTCTGTTTAAACATCTCCAGTGATTGAGAACTCCTGGATTATCACAAGATAGAACCTTCCATTTTTTGGACACCTCTAAGTATAAGGAATTTCTTCCTTATATTGAATTGAAATATGTCTCCTTGTAAGTTTCACTTATTACTCCTAGTTCTGCTTTCTGAGGTCAAGGAAAACAAGTTTAATCTCTCCATACAACAGTCCTTCAGATAGAAGGTAAGTGTGTTCCCCCTAAATCTTTCCTTCTCCTAGCTAAACACAACCAGGTCCATTGAGTTTTAAGTCCTCTTAAAAGTCCTGATTTCTCTCCTCTGAGTACTTCAGCTTGTCAATGTCCTTTCTAAAATGTGATGCCCCATACTGAACCCACTGCTCCTGCTGTCAAACCTGGGTAGAGCGGAGCAGTCTCCTCCATGCTGGACGTTCTGTTAATGCTATCAAATGGATTGGCAGCCGCTTCACATTGTTGGCTCACACTGAGTTTTCTCACTCAGAGGCTCCTAAGACCTTTTCCACAGAATCACAGAATTTCCAAGCTAGAAGGCCATCCAGACAAGACACAGCCTGCTGGAGTTGTAATCCAGCCTCTCTTTGAAGACTTCCCATGTATGTAAAGAGCTCCAAAGACACATCCCCTTCATTTTATATTTGTGCAGTCAATAGTCACTCTTCTCAAATAAATCTGAAACACTCTGCACTTTCTTTGTCCCTTTCACTTTTGTCCCAAATCATAATATCTTTATTGGAGTACATATCCACCACTACAATGTAAACTCCTTAAAAGCCATGACTGTTCTTATGACTCTTTATATGATTAAAGTATGGGAGCAAAAAACAGAAGGCTTTGTGGTTACAGGGAATATTTCCATCACTACTACAGACTATGGCAAAGGGTTTGGAACAAAAAGGCAGATTTGAGAGGTGAACAGCTAATTCCAAAGATAATATCTAAAAAAAAAGGATTTAGAGAGCTGGACCATAGCTTAAAAGGCAGGAATGACACTCTCTTGCCTAGGGATGTAGTGTATCTACCAAGGGCTGGTAAGAATATATATGTCTATAAGATGAAAATATATTTTTCATGATTTCATAAGTAGAAAGAGTATCACATTTCTTGCTTTCTCAATGGTGGGTGGGGGAGTGGAGGGAGAGAGAATTTGGAAGTGAAAATAAATTTTTAAAAAAATCTGAAACCGGGGCAGTAAGGTGGCGCAGTGGATAGAGTACTCGCCCTAGAGTCAGGAAGACCCGAGTTCAAATCCGGCCTCAGATATAGAACACTCACTAGCTGTGTGACTCTGGGCAAGTCACTTAACCCCAATTGCTTCACAAATAAAAAAAAAAAAATCTGAAACCGACAGAATAAAGAGCTAAGTGAAAGCTCTGATATATTCCCCAACCCCCCAGAATGTATACACCTAGAGTTTTGCAAATCAAATCAAAAGACTGTCATAGACAAAATCTAAAAGTCCCACAATAACAGGAAACCACAACAAAGAAAAAATACAACAATCATTCAAAAAAAGTCAGTTCAAGTACCTAAGGAACTCGGGGTCACACAAGGAAGCTTTTACTAAAAACCAGAGATCTTGGTGTACAATGTTCTAAAAGGCAAAAGATATAGGCTTAAAACAAAGAAAAATGTATTATTAATGGAACAGAGGACTTAAATATTCTGATAGAAACAAAACAAAACAGAGCTGAAGTAGGAATTTAGAAATACAAGAGTCCAGTGAAAGCCAGAAAAGTACATTTATTTGAGCAACTGGAAGATGAAGTATGATGATGTGTAGACTAATGGGGGAGAAGACATAAGTGCCCCTCGAGATGCTTAATGTGTCTAAAGGGTACTAAAAGGATTTCCAATCAAGATGTCCACCTGAAGGGAAAGCAAGCTGCTTAGGTTCTACATACCTAGCAAAACCCTAAAGTTTGCACCAGTCCAAATAATGATAAAGAAAACCAATGAGCAACTGTGGTAAATGATACCTACCTCCCCAGAGCTGCACAAAAGCTCAGATAGCAGTCCAGGAATAAGCAAGAGCCTGCTCTCTTCCTCCCCACTCTACCTCCACCACCACCACCCCAAAAAAGTCAGTGCCTTTCAGTACAAGCAGAGACAGTTCATGTGGAGCCTGCAAATCTCTGTTTTGAGGCAGTAAGAAACCCACTTGCCTTCCCTAAAGAAGTCCCACAATGCTCAGAAATCCCCAGGGAGTCTCAGCAGACATCAATCAGTGCAGTGCTACCAGTGTGGTGCAGCAGTGCTCACACTGAGACAGCCTTGACCCAGCACCTCTGAGGTCCCTAACATTCTGTCTGAGATGCCAGAGAGGACCCTGAAGATCCAGAGCTCAATCGCAACGATCCAAGGGCGGGTTAAACTTGGAAGGCAGAGGTCTGCCATGACTCAAAAGTACAGCAGAAGGTAGAGCCGAGCACTGGTACAATGCTGAAATTAAGGAACTGAAACTGGAAAAATAAATCAAAGAAAAGACCCACAAGTATCAAAAATTATTGTAAATCTGACTCTGTAACAACCAAAAGGAAAAATGGTTTCCACAAGGACTACATGAATACCCATATAAAATGAATCAACAGACAAAAAATAAAATAAAAGCTCTGGAGAATATAATTGGTAGAAATTGTGGTAAACCTCATCCAAGAAAGGGAATCCCTGAAAATCAGAATAAAACAAACAGAAATCAGGGACTTCATGAGACAATAAGAAATATTGTAACAAAATCAAAAGGTTGAAAAAAAATGGAAAAAAATGTAAGTATCTGATAGCAAAAATAATAGATCACAAAACAAGTCAAGGAGAAAGATTTAAGGATCACGGGACTTCCTGAAAAAAGGTGATTTTAAAAAGTCTGTCTATATTTTAAGAAACCATAACTGCAAACTTCCTAGATCTATTGGAATCAAAGGACAAAGTAAAGAAAGAATCCACCAATTTTACCTCCTGATAGGCACACCAAAAAGAATAGTCCCAAGAATGTCACAGCCAAAATCTAGAATTCTCACATCAAAGAAAAAAAAAATACAGCAGGCATCCAGAAAGAAGCAGCTCAGGTACCAAGGAATTACAATGAAGTTCCCAAAAGACCTGGCAGCTTCTACTTGAAATG